CATTCTGAAGCGTGTTGTTGAAAGTCCAGATGGAGAGGAAGATAGGAAGCAACTGGTTATTCCTCGAAACAAGGTTAGAGAGGTGTTGCAGTATCTTCATGATGGATCATTAGGTGGCCATTTTGCAGTGACGAAGACGCTTGGGAAAGTTCGAGAGCGATTTTATTGGGTGAACTGTAAGGAAGATGTCAAGAATTGGTGTAAGAAGTGTACCACCTGTGCCGCGAGTAATGGACCACAGAAAAGGCCAAGGGCGCCAATGCGTCAATACAGTGTCGGTGGCCCCTTCGAACGAATCGCAATCGATGTGGCGGGTCTATTCCCAGAGTCCGAGAAAGTTAATAAGTACATCGTGGTCGTTATGGACTATTTTACCAAGTGGATTGAAGCCTATGCCCTTCCGAACCAGGAGTCGGAAACCATTGTTGAGGAACTGGTGAAAGAGTTGATCTGTCTTTTTGGGGTGCCCTTGGAGTTCCACTCAGACCAAGGGAGGAATTTCGAATCGGCTATATTCTGAGGAATATGGGAGCTCCTAGGAATAAAGAAAACTCGAATCACTCCACTCCATCCACAATCGGATGGCATGGTTGAACAAATGAACCGGACCTTGATTAATATCTCTCCAAGATTGTGTCTGACCACCAAAGGGACTGGGACCGCTATTTGCCTTTATTCCTAATGGCATACCGTTCATTTGTCCACGAAACGACTGGCCAAACACCTGCCAGTGTCCTTTTTGGAAGGGAGTTACGACTACCTTGTGACCTCAAATTCGGCTGTAAACCATGAGATGACTTGGCTAAAGAATATTATGTTACCAACCTTCGAAGAAAGCTTAACGATATCCATGAGTCGGTTCGTCAGCATGCGCAGATAGCTAGTGACAGGATTAATGAAAACTACGACATCAAGGCTACAGCAGGTAGTTACCAAACTGGAGATCTTGTTTGGTTGTATAATCCTCGTCGTCGCCGTGGACTATCACCTAAGTTTCAACAGAATTGGGAAGGACAATATGTGATTAACGACGCCATCTACCGAATTAGGAAAACTCCAAATGGGAAGCCGAAGGTAGTCCATTTTAATCGCTTGGCTTCATTCGCCGGTGCAAATGAGGAGGAGGCGTGGGCCAGATTATTAAGAACTACTCCTTCCGAGCCCACATTCGAAGAGTTCATGAGTCCATGTTAACAAGAAATTGGAGTGACGCAAGAAATCCGACGAGACCTCTTTGCTATATCCAAGGAATATTCACTGGCCCATTGCGTTTCAAAGGATCTCAGAATGAGCCGAGGTGTCGCGTCCGAGTTCAAACGCAGATTTGGCGGTTTGGAACATCTTGAAGACCAAGTACAGATGGGGAAAAGACTGTTGTGCTTGCCTGACGGACGACGCAATATCTATTACCTGGTAACTAAAGGAAGATCCTCTGATAACCCCACTTATAGAGACCTTTGGGACGCAGTAATTGAACTCCGCGGACATCTTCTGGTGAATAACCTACAGAAGCTGGCGATTCCGAAGCTTGGTTGTGGACTGGACAACCTAGATTGGAGGATCGTACGGAACATGATCGAAGTCCTGTTCCGCCATACTGGAATAGACATTTTGGTTTGCAGTAATAACCCGAATCGGACCAATCATGAGAAGACCGTGGACTGTTACTTCTNATAAATTTCAATTAATTTTAGTTTGTAAGAATTCTACAGACTAGTGTCAAGTGACAAAATTTTTCTGCCACCACTTCATATAAAGTTGGGACTCGTGAAAAACTCTGAAAGCTATGAACAAGGATGGTGCAGGCTTTCAATATCTCAAAATAAAATTTCCTCGAATCAGTGACGCGAAATTGAAAGAAGGGATTTTTGTAGGTCCGCAAATACGAGAACTTATGACGGATGCAGTTTTCAATTCGAAGTTGAAAAAATCTGAAAAAAAAGCTTGAGTGGCTTTCGTGTGTCATAATTTTCTTGGTAATACAAAAGCTAACAACTACCGACAAATCATTTGAGAGCTTCTTTCTGCTTATAAAGCTTTAGGATGCAATATTTTACTCAAAATTCATTTTTTTGGATTCGCATTTAGATTTCTTTCCGGAAAATCTCGGTAACGTATCATTAGGATATTATGTATATTTTTGTTGGTCGATTCGCTCAGAAACTTCGATGGAAACGATGAAAAGAAAAAAAACTACAAAATAACTTGAATTATACTACCATAATGAGATAAATATACTGATATTTCTATCAGTTATGTCTATAAAATTAGCATTTTTCGCTGTAAAAGGCATTATATTTAAAATCTGTGCTATATTTATTTGCATGTTAAATTCCGTGTTTAGAGCACCAAATATCATGCATGAAAACAATGAGGAGAGAAAAAAAAATTTTTTTTGCAGACCAGTGTTATCAAAGAACTTAAAAACACTATTAAATTATTACTAAACTTGGGTTACGAATTATTCTTTTTATTTACACTACCGTTGATATATCACTATTCACTGCGCTATTTATTTCACTTCTATCACTGTCAATTTATTTCTCGATTCACTTCTGCTATAGTCAATTTATTTCTTGCTCTTCGGCTATCGTCTCTTCCTTTAAATACTCTTTTGTCTCCTTTCTGGTACCCTCTAGAAACATCCGGATCGTTTCGTTTTTCTTTGAACTGTTTAACTGCTTTCCCAGAACGCAGGTACAACACACACATTTACAAATACGGCGCACATGAACAAAGGCGCCCACGGCTAGTCGGCGAATCGATAAGCCGTTCACGCACATGTATGCCTCATCGCACACAAACACGCTCCTGTTCGCTACACTGCCCCCTCTTTAAGGATGATTTTCACATTCCGTTTCGCAGGATCATGCCGGAATCTGCAGTTCTCGCTTCGTCGGATTTTTTGCGTCACTCCAAATCTCCTGTTAACATGAGGGCTTCCTTCATGAACTCTTCGAAGGTAAGCTCGGAAGGAATAGTTCTTAATAATCTGGCCCGAGCCTCCTCTTCATTTGCACCGGCGAATGGAGCCAAGCGGCTAAAATGGACTACCTTCAGCTTCCCATTTGGAGTATGGTAAGTGACTGCAGGTAACTCTCCTTTACAATTGTTGTGAACATTAGATCCGCTAGGTTCAGGTATAACAATCTATGTACTTAACCAATTTTCATCATTATTGTGCACGAGCGGTCATATCATTCCTCCCAAGCATATAACGAGGTACTACATTAATATACAATCCTTGGTCGGTCCTTTATCGCACCTAGGTCACGTTGGTGTGTGTAGGTGGCTTTATATACGTGCATATACGTTAAATTATACATTATAAACTTATAGAAATTGCATGGGGTTTCTGCTATGGATTACAGGATTATGGTGGGAATCGTTTCAAGTGTTATTCACTGTCGACAAAGGTACAGTCCTTCCTATAGTTAATGAATAATTATATGATACAATAATACCTTCTTTCTGTTCATTGTTTCATTTTTTCGGATCTGTATATAAATATAACTGCCATAATTTTATTAAAACCACTATTTAAACGAACACTGGGCAATTAATGAAGTGGTAGGTATTTTAACCTATTTTTGACTCTTTTACGGACATGCATGTAATTCATATACAGAATTAAAATTTTGCACGTATGCTTTGTATTTACGTATAGATCACGCTAGTATTCAAAGCGTAATTTTCAACATTAAATATTTAATTGTAGGAATCTGTAAATACTTTTGTATTGAATATACATTATTAAGAATACCTTATAAAACTAAACTGCTGAAAGTGGAAATTCGAAGTATATCTTACCTGTCAACAGAAATCGCCATAAGCGAAAATACAGAGGCACATATCGACAAAACAGCAATAAACTGTGCTATTTTGCAATATATGTTACCAAAGGGCCAGTGAGAGTTTAGCATGTAGATATAGTTAAAAGTCACATTTAAAGTTGAAACCATTGTATCTGCAACCGACAAGTTCACTAGAACAAAAAGAAACAGTACTTAAGAACAAATCAAAGGATCTATAATTATTTTAAATTTTCAAAATTGATATTTAACAAGCACTTCCGTTTATTTTAGCCACTACACCAACCACGCTTCTAGATCGCTAAGACCCACTCGCGGTTGAAGCAGTATGTCGAACAGTTCTCCGTGGATAGGTTAATAGCACACCGCAACGTTACTGGTATGTTGTTAATATATAAATTACGGACGCGTAAAAATTAGCCTACTCTAAAACTGCAATTTGCCCAGGGAGTCCATAATGGGTTCCCTTACTTGATAATAAAAATGTTGAAGTTAAATACTGTGGTCTTCAGTGATGTGAGGAAAATGAATATCTCAAAACTCCTCCTTCAAAGTGTGATCAAGCTCAAAAATCAAATTGTAAATTTAGATTATTTAAAAACTTCCAAAGATTACATACTGTAGCGACCACGAGCGTGATTGTGTGCGATCGGGCCTACGTATGTGTGAGCGGCTTATCGATTCGCCGACTAGCCGCGGGCGCTTTTCTTCATGTGCGCCGTATCTGTAAACGTGTGTGTCGTAACTGCGTTCCGGGAAAGCATTATACCGTTCAAAGAAAACGGGACTTCTCTGGACGGCTGGAGAATGTTCCCGAAAGGAGGCAAGGGAGTATAAAAAACAAGAGAAGATCGCCGAAGTAAAGTAGAAATAAATTGACCGTTGCAGAAATGAATCAAGAGATAAATTGACAGTGATAGAAGTGAAATAAATAGAACACTGAATAGTAACAGTAGTGTAAATAAATAGAATAATTACCAAAGTTTAGTAATAATTTAATAGTGTTTTTAAGTTTAATGGTAATTAGTGCCAATAAATAGTTTTCTTCGTAAAAGTTAATTTGTTAAACCCACGAACATTACAATACCTTTTCAATATCTTAATAACAATCTATGGGGTAATCTGTAGAGGACGGAAAGTTAATATCATTTTAATTTTTTATAACGAATATTAATCTCTTCAAGAACATTTCGTACTTATTGTCAAGTAATTAAACACTTTCCTCACTATTAGATACTAAATTTATTTAACTATTTACTTTTTAATTAACACCACTATTTATAAATAATTCACCACTATATCCCACACTTTGTCGTTTTTCACCCTTTTTATTTCGTTTTGTAACTCGAAACTCAAACACATACTAACTCACTGTTCCGACATCGCTTGAATTGTTCTAGAAGGATCCAGAATGTGACGTCTAGAAAATCTGGTCTTCTTTGTCACTATGTATGTTGGGTTACCTAGACGTGACAATTTATGCTGGGTTGCCTAAGCTAGGACAACCTCTGTCTCGGTTAAATCCAGTTTATGCTTTTAATATGCCTCTAACTAGCCTTACACATCTGAGAAGGTGTTCTCGCAACCTACCTCGTATAACTTCCATGAGAATGGTTTTCTTTATTAGCATATGTATAAAGAGCTGCGTACTAAAGATTTAAATTAGGTTTCCGTGATAAGCATATGTGGTATAGTGTATGCACTAAGGGTTTTGTTTGGCATATGGTTTGGGGATGGGAGGTGCTGAATTTAATATGTAAGTGACATGAATTACTTGTCCAAATTGGGGCAAGATAAAGATGCGTAAGTATATCATAGTAATCAAAATTTTAGTGCGTCCTAGAAGGTGCTATTATTCGAAATAAATTAATTAACATTAACAAAAAAAAACAAAAAACCCGACTCCGTGAAAAATAGTAAACTTAAAATTTTCAATCTTACATAATAAATGAACTGAAAACATAGGTTTTTAGCATTTATCATTTTAACTTTTGTAAGCCATTTATAAAACATTTTATTTTGTGGTTTACCAAAATATCTCGATAGGTTTTGAGGAAACAAAAATGTTTGAAGACATAAAATATGATGCCAAAAATCGGCCATTTTAAATTTTATAAGCAGTAGCTGACGAAATAATATAATAATAAGATATAAACAAAAAACACAAATAGATATGTATACATACGTATTTAACTGTGTTCCATGTTTTCACCTTTATTGAAGTGAAACTTCTTTACGCACGGTATGGTGAGTTTGTTTCATGCGAGTTGCTATGTAACGAAATCATGCAACGGATGTCCCCCTTTTCTCGGCCACGTAGTCGAATTCATAGTGGGGATCGCTTGAGCCGTGAGCGCGCTCCAATGCAACGTTCGTTACAGGCAACTCCGGCATGTATAGTGTAAAATTTAAATTCATAGTATACAAATAATACCATTAAACCAATTCCTTAACCCCT